GTGTGTGTGTGTGTGTGTGTGTGTGTGTGTGTGCGGCACGCTTGCTGAAATACAGTGGGAGGGATGAATAATGGAGCTACATTTCTCCACAACAGAAGAAGCTGGAGCGTTGAAATAGGCTGCAAGAGAGTTGTGAAGAGGAATTTTTACGGAATTTTGAATTTTACGTAAATATGGTGGCATTTACGTAACTACAAGTAAAAATGTTATTGAAGTGTTTTATCAGGAAATATTTTACTTTTTACTGTCATGGTTTTAAGTGTGAACCCCAGCCGTGCTACAGATTTCTAAACATCGTATTTAATTCCAGGTGGATTGCTATTATTATCATCATTATTATTATTATCATTATTTTTGCAATAATAGTCGGAAACAAATATAATAGTTGTATAACGTATTTACTGCCTTACTATCGAAAAAGCACAGCAAATTTTGTAAAGAAACTTGTGAAATCATTCTACTTGCAGATTTTAAATATTTAAATATTTAATAAATTGAAAGATTAAATTAATCCACCTTTTACACAAAAAAGTTTGTCAAAAAAATTTATTGTTTTAAGAAAAGTGATGAAAAGTTACTCTGTTAAACTAGTCAGGTTATTCTCATAGAAGGCTCTTATACACCCTGGACTGACACTAGCACAAAAAGACAGACGACTCTGCCAACATACGTCAAAGTTTCAGTTAAAGCGTTAAGTTGAATCGTTGTCTTTTGTATGTTAGTTATGAGCACTGTCCAAGTTATTGATCAGTGAATGAACTGTTGAATGACTCATCCACCAGTCAGGAAAGTCTGGATGTTTCGGTGACAGTTCAGTGTTCCAGCTAATGAATACTGAAGCTTGTCGGTGATAATTAATGTCTTTCAGAGTCAGTCAGCAGAGACACAAGTGCTTTTTAACTACAGTAGTGGTGTTCCTCTCCCTCTTGATATTTCAGAGCGACACATCAAATTCTCCACTGCCTTGTCACTGTCAGGTGACAGGATGTCTAGCAGAATTATACTTTGACGAGCTAACTGCTTTCTACACAGACATGTTTTATTTCATTCTTTTTATACCTTCTTTGCATGGACTCCCTAATGAAATCATTATAATCAACAAGAGCGTTGTCATGGCAGCGGTGCTGCTACAGGCTCTGATGGGCTTCCTTTGATTTTCTGTCAGCAGGGCTTCCTGTTGGTGCCAGAGCAGGAGGACGGTACACGAAATGGAGATGATCTTTTTATTGTTTCCCATATACTCTACAGTGAATGTCTTCTGAAAGATGGATTTAGAGCTGCATGGTCTGGCTTAAATGTGCACATAACAAGACAGAAGCAATGAGTAAGTAATTTTATGTAAATCAGTTTACCACAATCAAATGCGGATTTTTACTGTGACATAAAGTAAATTGGTGTAAATATTGTGTGAAATGCATTAGTGTTGACTAATGTGATCCACCAGTGCAAATGCTTGCTTGATTGTTCTAGCTGCTGATAGCTCACATTTCACACTGAAGCCCTGAATCTACATTCAGAACATGGTTATTGAACAGCACAACATCTTTAATTACTCAAAGGTGCAAAGGTGAAAATTAAATGACTATCAAGGGAAGACTGAACTCCAGCAGCTTACATCTTCATCTTTTTCTGCCTCATTTGCATTTCAATCAATAGATTCTGAACATCAGAGAACCACAGGCTGATCACAGTGACCAATGTGGCTCATTTATTAGGGTACTTTCTAAAGCTAAAATGCACCTGTTGTTCTAACCTGATCAGCAAGATGAAGTTGTAGTACCACTTGCTGATGATGTCAGGAGTTTAGTAAGTTGTAAACTAACTCCTGACATCTGAAGGATTTAAGGTTTTGTCCAAATAACATCATCTAAGTATGCATCAAACCAAGCTGTTTCAAGTTCTATCTTTATTTCTAGATGCTAACCCAACAAACACAAAGAAAAAGAATGTTTCCAATTCAGTTTACCACAAATAACATAAAATGAATGGATTCAAATCTTATAACCGTTCAGTAGTTTTCTTCTGTGTAATTCCTTACAACTGAGATTATTTGGGAGGCAATACATTTTCTTTTATACTTTAAAAATTAACCATCTTAATTTTTCTTTCCTCACAGGTTGTCCTATCACGCCATTGGCTAGTGTGGTGTCTACTCTGGGCGGACTTGTCTTTGGTTATGAGCTGGGCATCATATCGGGTGCTTTACTGCAGCTCAAGGTTGATTTCAGGCTGTCATGCATTCAGCAGGAGGCGCTGGTCAGCTCCTTGCTGATAGGAGCCTTGCTGGCCTCAATCATTGGCGGTTGCTTAATTGACCGTCATGGCTCCAGGAACTCCATCCTCATCAGCAATGTCATGATCCTGACAGCCAGCCTGGTTCTGCTCATCAACTCATTCTTAGCACTGGTCATAGGAAGGATCACAATAGGCTTTGCCATGTCTGTATCCTCCATGTCCTGCTGCCTCTTTGTGTCTGAGGTAGTAAGTCCAGACCGCAGAGGTTTCCTGGTAACACTGTATGAGGCTGGGATTACTGTGGGCATCCTGTCAGCTTATGCCATTAACTATATCCTGTCTAGCTATAAAAGAGGGTGGAAGTGGATGTTTGGTCTAGCTGTGGTACCAACACTGGTACAGCTCATGTCCATCTGCTTACTCCCTTCCAGTAGTAAGGATTCTTTCAACCAGAGTCAGTGCTTTCGAAATGACAGCACTGAAGCCCAAGAAGCAGATGACTCAAAAGTGCAGTCTAGCAAGAGAAATAAGAAGGTTCAACGCAGCACTTTCTACTTGTTCAAGCGCCAGGACAATATGAGGACTCGGACTGTCATCGGGCTGGGATTAGTTCTCTTTCAGCAGTTCACAGGCCAGCCAAACGTACTGTTTTATGCCTCCACCATCTTCCACACAGTGGGATTTCAGAGTGACTCCTCAGCAGTGTTGGCATCAGTTGGGTTGGGGTTGGTCAAAGTGATTGCTACTCTGATATCCATGGCGTTTTCAGACAGCGTGGGCAGAAGGCCTCTGCTCATCGGAGGCTGCTCTGTCATGGCTCTGTGCCTAATAACCATCGGACTCTTCAGTGGACATTCGCAGGTGACCGCTATGAGACCTTGTAATGCTCAAAACATTGACGTTAACGAAACACGGGCACGTCACTCACCTGTTGGCAATTACTCTGTTTTTGATACGTCTCTGGCTGGAAACCACTTTCTTTTTAAAAACACCACACAAGATAAGGATGTAGTGTTCAATAAAATCGGCCACATTTCTTTGGAACCCACTCCACAAACTTTTACTAAAGTCCACGGCAAAGTGATCAACTGGATCATCCTCCTGTGTATGATGGGTACTGTCAGTGCATACTCTGTTGGATTTGGACCAAGTGTGTAAATTTATTCAATATTATTTACTTTATAGATTTAAAGCTTAAATAATTTCTGTGTATTTGGCAAGCATAGCTTTACCTCCATTACAATTTTTACCTGTGGGTTATCATAACGTTTTTTGTTGTTGTTTTTTTTTGGATCAGTGACATGGCTCCTCCTGAGTGAAATATTTCCAGCTGCTGTTAAAGGAAGAGCATTCGCATTCACCAACTGCTTCAACTGGGCTGCAAATCTGCTGGTCACCTTCACCTTTTTGAATGTTATTGGTGAGTTTTGGAGTTTCAATAGCACTATAGGTTTTAAAGTAGCTAGATGTTTACCTTTAGTTTACCAGAAAAAAATAAATGAATAAAAAAAATCATAATAATTATAATAATAAAATGCTTCCAAAAAAAAGTTCATTACATCTATTGATTTCATGATGCATGATAAATGGACTGCTCAGTCAAAGCGCTCTAAACTACATGCCACATTCACCCAGCCTCTGATTGATGCATCAGAGAGCAACTTGGGGTTAGTATCTTGCACAAGGATATTTGCAGAGTAGGGCCAGGGATTGAACCACCAGCCTTCCAATCAGTAGATGATCGGCTCTACCTCCTGCGCTACAGCCACCCACAAAAATGTGGAACGCTTCACGAATTTGCGTGTCATCCTTGCGCATCCTGGCCATCCGGTGAAACTGCTGGGAAGACAACGTTGGAGAAACATTAACATTTTATGCTAAACTTCTCTGTATCGTATCCAATTTAGTGCGTACCCTAAAATAAAAGTACTGGATACAATAAAGTGTAATTACATTGTATTATGTGGTGAATATACATATGACCTCATATATAATGTACAAAAAGACAAGGATCCACTGATGCAAACACATTAAATGCCTGAAAAAGCAACACGCTAACATTAACATTAACTGCTAACATTAAGCTACCAGTGGTGATCCCACCCTGACAAATGGCTCGACTTGCTAAGTCAGACTCATTACTGGTGGGAGTTGGACTCTGCCAGGGCTGTCCTTTGTTAACAGTTCTGTTTATAACTTGTATGTGAAGTGGCTTGGGATGAGAATTAGCATCTCCAAGTCTAAGACCATGGTCCTTAGCTTAAAAGCCACAGAGACGCAGTGTTTAGAAAAAATGCATCTCAACTGTTCCAATACTCCTGAGACAGGAGGCAGTGGTTGTCCTTTTTTCCTGGATCGGTTGGAGCTTTCTTTAGGTGCCTTCCCAGGTTTAACAAATGTCCAGCAAGGATAACCACGTTTACTCAGGGCCTTCTTGATGTGATGTTCTTACATCATTAATGATCAAGGAACTGACCTCACAGCCCATTGTTCATTAGTAGTGCTGGTTTCAGTCATTGTGCAAAGGTACTGTTTATAAGAATGGCAAAACCTGCAGTCAGAAGACTGAAGAAGTCACTTGGATGAGTGACGAAACGTCTCTCCCACTGAAAACGCTAGGTCCAGATGAACAGAATCAACCTTTTTGGGATTTACTTACCTGGATGATTGAGCATGCATCAAGATACCACTGTTATCAGGGGTAATATTGTAAAGCAAGTTACTCTCTCATTCCCACCTCCAATTTTTATCAGCTTTGCTTCTGGCTGTGGATAATACTCAAATACTACAATTATTTGTGCTTCTTGAGATGGGAATTTGTGATCGGTGTCATGCTGGCATATAAAAGTTGAAAGCTGCTTGAAAGCTTGTTAACTGTTAATTATGTGAAAATTCAGAGTGACTTGTTTATAACTGAATGGAAAAAGTCTGAAAGTGTGAAATATGGAGAATTATACTTTTTGTTTCTCCTTTTTTTAAAAGTACGATAGCTATAATGTTGACTTTTAAATGAACCCAACCTTGACCCTAAAAGTTCAGCATGAAATGTAATGAGCTGGATCTCCTGTGCAGAAGGATAATTTACATGAAGTTAATGGTATACCAAAATAAAAGCTCTCCAGTTTGAAGTTAAATGCGTTGCACAAAATAGTTTAATATTTTTTTGATAATAACCAAAAAATGCAAAATATAAAATCTATAAATGCAGAATTTTTTTAAAAGCTCAAAGTTTAACAGTTAAGATTACTTGTTTGATTTAAAATCCACTGTTGTGATTTACAGAAGCAAATTTGTTTTTCTTTATTTATTTTCATTATTCAAAACGTATGGCCCTAATTGTATGTCATTGACCTAGAACCCAACACACAAAGTAAAAACATATCAAGACCCACAGTGTAAATGTTTTTGAACATGGTAGCAAAAAGAAATGTGTGTTTTAATTCTGCAGATATGATTGGACTGTCAGGGATGTTTCTTGTGTATGGGCTGACTGCTGTGGCAGCTGCAGTGTTCTTCTACTTCATGCTACCAGAGACAAAAGGGAAGACTCTGGAGGAAATAGACAAGGAGCTGCGTTTAAACAGGTATGATCTGCAGTCTATTCACCTGATCAAATACAGAGTCCCGAGTGATGCAATGTGAGGCCTCCACTGTTGTTTTGCAGGTTTTACCACCATCTGGAGTGCTGTGGCTTCATCAGCAGCAGAAGTACCTCCCCACAATACCAGAGAGTGCACTGTCAGGTTTGCACATCGGGGTGAACCAAAAAGATAATGAACTGTTTAGGAAGACATCACCTCAAAACAGCTGACCTGAAATCTTTAGTCAAAATAAAAATCGACAGTTAGCGTGTGCCTAAGTTCATGAGGGTTGAACATGAATGATATAGGACTTTGTAACATGTCTTTGAATTTAACTGGGTGACATGAGCTTGTTTTTTTCTTTACCACTGTGGGCTTATTGGATTTCTTTGTTAAGAGAACTTAACAGGTCAACATCTTTCCAGCTCTTGCTTTAGAACAAACAAACAACCTTTGTCACATACACATTCATACAGAGTACAACATGTAGTGAAATGCTTGTGTCCGAGCTGCAGACAGGCTGTAGACATAGCCGCACCAATCCAGGACTTGGCTTTAGCATGGGGGGGTCTAGCCAGGACCCTTACTGGATACCAGGTGGGGGAAACGAACTTGCGACTCTCACTCCAAAGGTGTCTAGTCTTACCATTACATTATCCAGATGCAGGGGATAGTGGGGATGAGAGGGGACTGTCAAACAAAAGGTTTGCTTGTTTACCTCAAAATATCAACTTTAAGATGTTAAGTCTTCAGAAAATGTGGAGGACGGCAAATTTTTTTGGGCTTTTGTTTTCATAGATTTTACAGCTTGTCCTACTGAATAAATCTTTCATACTACACCAAAATAACTGTTTTCCCACCATCTACAACAGAAGCGTGTGTGTGTGTGTGTGGAGGGGGGGGTTATATTCTATCACAACTAGGCCTATAAGCGGACCCATCCTTATGGTAGACTTTTTTAATGGAAAAAGGAAAATTAATGGCAGGAAAAACAACTGTGTTCCATCCATGTGAACAGGCTTCAAATTCTTGATATTGTGCAACATCTGAAGAAAAGCATCCACTTCAACTGGACACAAAGATTTGTTTTTGCACAGAGGTAGTAGATTTTAACCACTAGTAGAAACGGCATACTAGTCATTGTTGCTGTAGGACAGAGTTGTACACACTGAACTCGAGATGGCAACACCTTTCAAAACTGAAGTTGCACTTTGGGATACACAAATATTTCTTTTCCATATTTATATTTTCAGTGTTCATTTAGCATCAGTGCATCTTTCTTAAACTCTTAATTTAGAGCATTTGTGGCAAGACATCCAGATGTTGCATTTGTAGCAGCCCAAGTCTGTGTAATCATGACAGACATGAATCAGACAGATTTACCTGATAAATAAAACACATGTTTATTTACACAAATATTCTCAAATACTAGTCTTCTACATAAGGACAGAAAAATATATACAGTGATGTAGGGATTTAAACTGCTCCATTGTCGGGTCAATGTATACATGTTTTGATTTATTTGCATTTTCAGGTTTTGAAATGGAAAAAAGGCGTATGTACAGCAGGATCTAAAACTTGCACTTTCAAACTGGCACTAAAACATTACGGGAAACCATCTTTCAAATGCTATTATACTCCACTGCTTCCCTCAATGTGTTGGTGAAAACCAACAAACTGCATGACTCTTCAAAAACGTCACTCACTATACATGAGAGGTGAACTTTTCTCTAACAATCACCAGCAGGTAGGGCTGTCTCAGTGAAAGGATTATACCTGCCCTACGCAATGCAACATTAATCTTAATTTACTTTACTTACTCTGGATTTTAAGGGGTGCATTTCCCTCATTTAAGCACACTCCTTTTCAAATAAATGGGAGTCTATCCCATTTTGCTTTCATTTCTGGTTGCACTTGCGTCTCAATTCCGTTTCATTTGTGGAGAGGCACGTGAAGAGAGTTGATGACAGCCCCTCATCTTGTTCTTCAGTTCCATAAAAAGTTCAGCAGAGGAACATAGAGGGCCAACAATGTTCCCCCTCTGATTGTGACGTGATTACACAAATACAAATCCTCGCATGTGGCTTTAAAGCACAAAGGTGTTCCAAAAAAAGAAAAAGAAAAAAAGAAGATATACATCACTGTACTTCATTTTGTTGGTATTGTGACAGCCCTACCAGCAAATGACAATGTCCTATGTTTTCATTTCATTCACTACACATATCACACTGTCCACTCTGTGAGCAACTCCTACTAGCTTCCCACTGGAGGGGAAGGGAAAAAAAAGCAATTGGTCAGCCTCTTCTTCCAAACAACTTGAGTAAACTTTGGTTAGATCTTGAAATATTTCAAGGAACTGGAAAGCAGCACATTTAGAGAAACCATTTCTTTGAGAACCTGAATGACCCTTACCTGGCTTCTTAAAAGATCGCACAACAACACTTGAGTCGAACAGACACCTTGATGGTAGAGAACTTTTATCCAGCAGTCCACAATGTTTTGGATTAGAGAAAATAAAAAACAAAACAAAGGAGGATGACGTGACAGGGAGTCACATAGCAAAAGAAGTCGAGTGATCTTGTTTGGTAAGAAAGGCAAGACAAAGCTACTCGGGCAGAGAAAGTGTTGAAGTGTCATTGTGTTTACATACACCTGGGGTACAGAACAGCACCAAAATACTGTGATCTGGAGGGTGTTTCAACTCTCCTGGGGAGGTCAGATGAGTGTTCTCATAAGGTTGTGTGTTTGACGCTGCTCAGTAGTAAACTATATATATCCTCTTGGTCCTGACAGCCAGCATCTCCCTTTACCTTCTGCTGATATTCTTATTGACCAGTGCCTTCTCTCGCCAAACTAAAACACACAGTGGGGAGGAATGACCATTGCTTAGTCTCACCACCCAAAACATACTTGGGGGCAAAATGAAAAAAAAAAAAAAAACAGATAAACAACATTCATTTCATATGTCATGTTAACACTCTCATTCACAGGAGGGAAAACAGCTCTTTTTTGTAAGATAACTGCTGCCTCCAGCTGCTGAAGCATAGTCACACCGAGTTAAGTTGGATATGGTGACGGCTGGCAGAGAACTGCTAAGACACCCCTCCCCCATCCTGACTGGGTGGTGGTGAAAGTGGGAGATTGATAACACAGGGAGGGGTGGGGGTGTTTTTAGTGTGAATCTGGGTGAGGGTGTCACTGTGGGGCGCCAGCAGCAGCGGGCACCGGGGTGCTCAGGGCATTTGTGGCAGCAGATAGGACAGGTGAGCCAGTGAGAGGCCCCAGGGCAGTAGAGGCTGGCAAGGCAGAGATACCTGAGAGAGAGAAGCCAGACGAGACCATCAGGACAGTCGAGCACTCTGAATATTAGCATTTCTACCTCAGAGCTGACAGAAATTTTTCAACAGTTTAAAATTCGCATGGGAATCGATAAGAATTAACCAATTCCATTATCGATTCTGATTGGGTGCTCATTGACCCACTTGAAGAGCCACCACCATCGCATTGCATATCAAAGGCTACGTTCACACTGCAGGTCTTAAAGCTCAATTCCGATTTTTTGATCAAATCCGATTTCTTTTGTCTGCTTGTTCACACTACAAATAAAATGCGACAGCAAACGCGCTCTAGTGTGAACGCTCAGAGCGCCCGCATGCGCAAAAGAAGACGTCACACACAACGCGCTCTGTTTAGACCCAGAGCAAACAGTATGTTTGACTGATGGCTCTTAATATGAAGACTTGTTTCAGACTTTACGTTTCCCAATTTTGCTTTAAGTTATAAAGTTATTTTGTTATTTACATAATAATGTAAATAACATAATAATTATTCTTATTGCTGTTTTAGAGGAGCGGTGCTTCAAAGGATAGTTGCAGATTTCTGTCAGAATCTGCAGATTATACAGTACAAATAAAATGTTCACGTTTCTCCAACGTTGTCTTCCAAACAGTTTCACTAACATCTACACTGGATGACCAGGAAGCGTTCACGATGTCTTCTCCGGCGCTGATAATCGGCGTCTGTCTTGTGTCGGTGACGTAAAAGACGGATTTAATGCGACGTGACCGTCAAACATCAGTCGCTTTCTAAAACATCAGATATGTATCGGATTGAGTACCACATACGAGAGTGACCCAGATCGGATTTGAAAATATCGGATTTGTGCCGTTCACACTGTCACACCATGATCGGATATGGGTCGCATAGGGTCAAAAAAAAAAAATCGGATTTGATGCGCTTTCACCTGCAGTGTGAACGTAGCCAAAGACATTTGTGCAAATTAACTGCATGCTGTGTGGCCAAATGTGTTGCATGTTGGAGGTATCAGCTTTGGGGTCATTATTTTAAAAACGTAATGTATTACACATTACACAGAACAGTTCTGCAGTACAGTTCTTACTCCCAGGAGAAAGGGTTTTTTTCTGTAAAATAACATGAAATGTATTATCTCATAATTACCTTTTAATAATATAAACCTATGGGTTACAGTCGCACACAGCAACACAAATCCCTATCCTAATAAGACAGAGATGATATTTCTCTTAGTATTTATGTGTGAACATAAAGCCAACAGCACAAAGCAAAGATTAAAACCCAGCCCACAGTAATTCTACTTTAGACATATGATACAGAAGCTGCAGCCTGACTGCTCATCACTTTGCTGAAGTTCAGGGTCTGGCTGCTGGGCTGGGGTCAGCATTCACTCAGCTTTGGGTTCTTGACTAGCTGTGGCTAGCATGCTGCGTGTGCAGCTGCTTACAAAGAGTCGCAGTTGTGTTAATGGGATAATGTAGTCGTTTCTTTCCTGGAAACAATTTAAAATTTACCACTGCACTCTGATCCTTTTGTGCAATAGAAATAAAAGTGATGCCCATATCTATGCTGTAGACTGCACTACTAGTTTCCTCCTCCAGCACACAAACTGCAAGTGAAACCAGTAAGCAAAGCAGGCAGCTTTATCAATTCCAAGGATTTGAACTACTGGTTCTGTACAAGAAGAAATAAATCCATAATTTAATGCAATCACACTGTGTGTGACCAAAGGTAAACCAGGAAGTAATATTACGAATCTGAAGTAAATTTTTACTTTAGGACAACAGTGGATATCCTTAATATGGTCGTCCCAGGTACACACCTCCCTTTTTAATAATAATAATGGATTGCATTTATAAAGCGCTTTTCAATACCACTATTCAGTCACTCTCACATTCACACACTGGTGGAGGCAGCTACAGTTGTAGCCACAGCTGCCCTGGGACAGACTGACAGAAGTGAGGCTGCCATATCGCGCCATCAGCCCCTCTGGCCAACACCAGTAGGCGGTAGGTGAAGTGTCTTGCCCAAGGACACAACGACAGACCGAGACTGTCCGAGCCGGGGCTCGAACCGGCAACCTTCCAGTTACAAGACGAACTGCCAACTCTTTGAGCCACGACCGTCCCATTACATGACAGTAAACTGTTGTACTGTAGGACATCCAGATTTTTGACATGCATCTTAATGAAGCTAATGCATAATAACTCTGCCATATTAGTTGAGGAAAATGTAAACCTAAAGCACAAGGATGCACAAACCCATAAGTTTTGTTTTTCTAAAGAGAAACTTGGATGGATTAAAAGGCACGGGGATTTAAATTGTAGGCCAGTATACTATCAGTATAAGTGCGCGTTCTCACCAGTTATCATGTTTGCTGTGCTAACAGCAGGGTTCCCACTGGGTAGGTTGGCTGATCCGGTCACACGAGACTGATCTTTCCCAATAGGGACTGTAGAAACAATAAATAAATTACTTCTTGTCATGGCAACCTTCATTTTATTGTTAGCAGAAAAAATAAATAACTATAGATAGACACAGAGGTGATGGTGAGAGCTTACAGAAGTATGGGTGATCCATGGCCTCGCGGGCAGTGAGTCTGGCCTGGTGGTCGTAGCGCAGCAGTTTGTCTAGGAAATCCAGAGCCTCGGGGCTGACCAGGTGCTGGTTCTCACTATGGACAAATCGCTCCCACCGCTTACGAGAATGCCTATTTTGGGGTGGGGGGGGATTAGTGCCTTGTGTTTGTATTCGTTTACAAAACAGTAAACACTTTAGATCACAGTGGGCCAAAATTCAAAACTGGAACAAAGTCGCGGGCTAACATTAATATTTATTGAAAAAAAAATATAAGAATCAATCTTTTCTTATTGACTCAAACAAGTTTTGCTGAAAAATGGCCCGCGGGCCAGAGTTTGACACCCATGCTTTAGATTATCCCATTACAAATTTCTGTAACGTTTTGTGGCCACCAAAATGGGTATACACACATGAATGAGTAATAAGATGGGAGTGGAGAAGATATGCTCAGTGGATCATCAGTCACCCAGCAGCTAAAACTCTTCTTTTGAACTGTGATATTTAACTTAAAATGTGCAACATAAATACAATTTTATTCATATTGATCCTTTGTATTGCTCTTTGTATTTACCTGACAGCATGACCCCCCCCCCCGCCGCAGGTGTATTTGCTAACAATAATTCAGCTGAACCTAGTACCTGCCAAGAATGTCATTGAAGCGAGGTTCCAGCTCAATGTTGTATTTGTCTATGTAGTCATAGAGGTCTTCTGTCCCCAGCACCTTGGCTATTCTCACCAACTGCAGGAGAACATGCAACAGTCATTTAGAAATCATCAATCACACACATGCACTATAATAAAATCTATTTCCCAGCTGTTTACAGAAAACATCTAGACACTTAGTAGATCAAAACCCTATTAAACAAAGCTCACGGTAATATCTATAAATCCTGCTGGGAATTAATTTAATAGTCGTTTAAAAAAAAAAAAAAAAAAAAAAAAAAAAAAAGAAAGAAAGAAAGAAAAAGAAACTACAGTAGTTGACTAGTTTGAAGGACAGAAAACATCAACAGCCAAAATAAATATTCTGTGTATACTTTATGTGCGTCATAAAACTCATCTTTAAAATTAACAAGTACAGGGAAACACAATAATAGCTTAGATTTATTCACCTGGTCATAATTGTCATGACCATGAAAGAAAGGTTCCTTTCTGAAGATCATGGATGCCAGCATACAGCCCAAGCTCCACATATCGAGGCTGTAGTCATACATCTGAATACAGAATACAGTGGAAGAACCAATGATGAGGAAAGATGAGAGAAGATGACTGAAACACTACTCGCTGAAATCTGTTACAAAGTCTATTTATTTACCTTACAATATAAAGCACCTTGAGGTGACTTGATATGATTTGGCACTATATAAATAAAACTAAACTGATTTGACTTAATATACAGCCTAGCAAAAGGAACAAGACTGTAATTTTGGACACAACAGGTTCATTCAGTGACTGACAAAGACTCAAAATTCAGTATCCACAGTACAAAGACCTCCAACTGCACTCCAGAAAAACGCTAAAGCACACGCTACTACCTCACTGCCATACCTGATAGTCCACCAAAAGTTCGGGTCCTTTAAAGTAGCGAGATGCAACTCTGACATTGTACTCCTGTCCTGGATGGTAAAACTCAGCCAGACCCCAGTCAATAAGACGCAGCTACAAAGAAATTAAGCGATTAGCACTCAGAACCAGGGTACATACTAAGTACAAGTAAAGTAAGTGGAAATTAAAATATTGTGCTTCAACCTGTGAATGCAGTAGAGGGACTGTGAAGAATAGGAATCCACACAGAGAGGCAAACAGAAAAGCACAACAGCAATGACAATGAACTTTATCATGCTGTTACATTGCAGAAGCAACATTATCTCTCACCCACCTTACGGTGCTCATGATCTATCATCACATTATGTGGCTTCACATCTCTATGCATTATTCCCATGCTATGGCAGTAATCCAGAGCCTACAAACAATACCAAAGGGACTTTGTTAAATACTGTTTAAGTTTTTCTTCCCAAGATTTCCAAAAGAGCTAGAGATAATTAGTTGATTCTCCCTTCAGGAAAATGCTGATAACAAAATGAATTCAAGTATAAAAAGCCAAACAAAAACACAGTCAAAGAACATTTTCCAGGGAATTAGTGTCTTGTGAAAGGTCTTCATCTAAACATGTATCACAACGTTCTGAGTTTGACACATCATAGAGTGAGCTGGAGGACTCACCTTGAGGATCTCATACATGTAGAATCGAATATCATAGTCCGTCAGGGTCTGGTATAGTTGCTGAATACCAAAAATAAAATCATTAGCCTTTTAATGGTAAAGTCCTACAGCTAAATGACAGCACCCATGTGTCACACAGAAGGAGCACTGTGCCAGTGATTGAGGATAGAACCAGAAGACTGTTGACTTTCTGGCACCGAAGACATAGCACTGGACTATCCTATTCCTCCATCACATACACACACGTGTATGGTAAAACAACGAGTATGCCAAGAAAGGAGGGTGAAATATATTACAATAAAATGCGCGACAGAATAAAAATCATAGTGTGTTCCTACCTTGAAGTCTGTGTTGTTAACATGTTCAAAGACTAAGGCAGGTGTTCGGGACTGCAAGAGAGACATTTCGTGTACTTTATTTTTCGTTTGCAGTTTCATACAAAATCCAAACAGCAGCAGCAGCAGCAGCAGAAGCAGAAGAAGAAGCAGAAGCAGAAGAAGCAGAAGCAGAAGCAGAAGAAGAAGACACAAAGAAAAAGAAGACACAAAGAAAAAGAAGACACAAAGAAAAAGAAGACACAAAGAAAAAGAAGACACAAAGAAAAAGAAGACACAAAGAAAAAGTACTAAATCTATCTCTGTACAAGCCAAGCAGACAGCCACACTGTGAGCCTTACATTTTGTTTAATATAAAACATCAAAAGTCTAATCAAACTGTGGTCTCTCTCACCATAGGCTGCACAACCATATCCACAAATAATGCTAATCACAGTGTGAATCACAGCTACCAACTTTCACTATTAAATCTTTGATGCTCTATTAAAATCAGTTTCTATTTAAGTAGAAATAACCATGAAAGATATTCTCTACTCTCACCCAGTGAGATGAGTTCTGGAGATTTCTACCCTCTGCTTTTTGGACACTTTTTTTTTTTAACTGGTCGCAGAAGGTTTGTCCAAAAATAAATAAAATAGGTACTCAGAAACCACATGTTACAATAGGGTAGATATTTCATAAACAGGGTACTTCTGCTCTTGACTTCTAAAATTCGAAATCAGAAATCTTAATCTGTATTTGTTTAAATCTTGAATGACCATGATGGCTCAGACACAATGTGTTGCTCCACTGCTTGGACAGAGCCCTCACTACATTTTATTACTATAAAACTGCTTACATGTATCTATCTAGCCGTGGTTATTTAAGTACTTACAGACACAAATTTCCCAAGTGTAACCAATAAGCTGGCACAAGTGGTAGGTTCAATGTGCTATTGGTACAATGACACCATCCCAAAATTTAATGCATCTTTTTTCTGAATAACACATTATGTAATCAGAAAAAAGAAAACGCAAATAAAATATAATTTCTGCTGTACTTGTGAACAAGACCTTAAATGTTCTTCATTAATAACTATGATACTTACTACAGGGTCTTTCACTATATCAATTAGAGAGATTATGTTAGGACCTCCACGCAGGTTCTCCAGAATCTTAATTTCACGCTTTATTTTCTTTTTCTTTACAGGCTAAAGGATAAACGAAGAAAAAGAGTTAGGATGCATAATGACTTCATGAGATATAAAAGTAAGCCTTTGTACAGCTTTACCTTGAGTATCTTCACCACAACCTTCTCGTTATTGGTGATGTTGATTGCCTCAAAGACTTCACTGTACTTGCCACGTCCTAACTTCCGCACTAACTGAAAATCATCCTGGTTTCTGTAAAATACAGTAATTTTGCAACCAAATATCAGTTACGAACATTTCTCAACTAGCATGTGTAAATTTGTCTAGAAGTCAAAATATTTACCCCCATTCAACCACATGGGACTCATAGTCCCAGTACTCCCTTGGCCGGTGAGTGTTGACCTCTGTGTACACTCGGGCCCGGCTTGGCACGGGTCCTGACATGTCCGACAGCTTGGCGGATATGATGGGGAAATCTTACTGCAGCGGATGACAGCCAGAGGGATGGAGGCTGGGGGGGAGGAAGAGGGGGTGGGGGAGGGAGGTAGGGGTGAGGGGGTAGATCCCACAAGGGAATGGGGTTGGGGGGGGTTTTGCCTGAGGATGGGGGGAGGGGCCACCAGGGGCAAGGTGGGAAAGCTGACAAAAAATGATTGGAACAGAAAATTAATGATCAAAGAAACCTGGTTTAAGGTTTAAGGTATCTGGTTAAGATAACATACGCTAGCCTGTTTCAGTTCAAGGTTAAAGGAGCTAGTAAACACAAACAGAAGTGATTAATTAGTCAAATGGTTTTGGCCAAACCCTAAGAGAGAACATGACATCAACAGGTGGATTACCTGCGATGTGCGATAACTGTGATCAGTATTGTGATAACAATATGACTTCTGATAAAATAAATAGCAAAAAAAAAAAAAAATACATAATTTCCGTTTTACTGCAACAGTTTTATTTAAAGAAAGCTGCTGTATTAGCAGTGTAACAACAAAGTGCACTTTAACATTGAAACATTGCCCCCATAAAAGATTTTCTGAGGCTTGAATTCTGAAAGACATCCTTCCCGATCTCTATAATTAGTTTTAAATAAACATAACTTAAATTATACTGCAAATGATCTCAGTGCAGTTGTTCATCATTTTACCACTCACCAAGTAGTTATGTCTAGAAAATACACAGTCTCTAGACACCGTGTTTTCAGTTCAAAGTCTTCGGTGAGGAAGTGCACTGTGAAACTCATATATGGTTCCGTTGTATGACTTGACCATAGGTCTGTAGTGCTTGCGTAGTTTTCAGCTTGGCTTAGTTCAAACATGACGGTCTTGCGGCATGTTTCGTACATTTGTGGAATGGCGAACTGGTGAAGCCCTCCCTGCTAACTGTATTTATAGGCATCATGTCTTTAGCCAAAAAAAATGTGTAATGGCCTCTGTTATTTCTTTGTACCGCTTCGACGTTTTCTCATAAGGAGTTCCACTTGAAAAACTCTGATACAGAGACGGCTGTTGGACTGCTGTGCTCTTTGTCTTAACATTAGCAACCTTTGTTTGGCTAGCCCTGTCTTTCTGGAACTCTTCAAACAGTTCTCTGTGGTTGTGTTGAAGATGATGGTGGAGATTAGTTGTGTTTCCTCTGGTGGTTGCCGCGAGTGTCCGGCGAGTTTTGCAGAGTACCTGTGTTTGGTAAAGGTCGTGTTTATTAAATCCAAAGTACCTCCAAATAAGCGAGGTACTATTTTTTTTTAGCCACGAGTTCATAAGTCAGTAGCGCTTTCGTCATGCGTCTCGCTCTCAGATGACCAGTAGAGTCAGTCGAATAGGTACTAGGTGAAAAGGGCTATTAATCCCAAATAGGGCAGGGCAATATGGCCAAAAATATTTATCACAATATATATTTGAAAATTTGCGATAACAATATAACTGACAGTATAATTGACGCAAGACAAAATACTTTACAACTCCACAACTTTATTAGTGCAAAAAAGAAAAAAAAAATCCATCAATGTATTTTCACTTAAACACGCAGCTGTTTTTATGTGCATTAAAGTTATATAAAAATTTAACAGTGCAAATGAAAATTCTTTGCTGACAGTTTAAACAAAAGGCATTTACAATGGAAATTGGCCAACATATCCTCAGCATAACCATGTATAATATCCACAAAACTTAAAGAGGTTATACACATACAATACGGTAACATTATGTTGAGCCACAGTACGTATCACTCCACGAGGCTCCTGACTACGGTAGCCGTAATTCTCCGACAATCCATCAAGTGGTGCGGCTTATATATAGCATATCATAGCTTATCAAAGTCGTACTAAAACATTTTTTGACAGATTTTTGGATCGGATCAGTAATAACGACGGTCCGGTTGCACGCGCTTTGGTGTGTATCTGACGGACGAAAGCCAAACCAGTTCCACACCACTGAAGTTGCACCATGCACCAAGTTAGCACATGATTCTCCTTATGGGGACCTGATATGTTTAATATGCTGCTGAGAATATAGCCCAGAAGAAGCGTATAGTATAGCTTTTATTTTGGAAAGAGCCATTTCTCTGTGATAAACTCTCTTTTCCAAAGATGAGTGATTTCTCGATCAGATAGATTTATTTTTTTATTACTTTGTTGTTTCAGCAACATTAAATTTAAAAACTGTACTTTTGAGTTAAAATATATATTTATAATTTTAATAAATGACAAATTAAAAAAGGCATGAACATTTTTTTTGTATTGAAAAAAAAATATCAAAACCGTGACACCAAAGTATCGAACCGAACCGCGAATTTTGTGTATCGTTATATAGCGATATATTCTTTTCTTCTGTATAACGTATTTTACACACTATAAGGCACACTTATCATCTTTTAATTTTCTCAAAAATCGACAGTGTGCCTTATGTATGACTTCTGGTTGTGCTTACTGACCTCGAACCGATATTATGTGGTACACAGCGCGCAGATATCTGTCAAACCTTTTTTAGTATGACGTTGGTAAGCTATGAAGGCGCACCGCTGCCGTAGTGAGGAGCCCTGCGCACTAATCTGGGTCCAAAACGCCATCCACGTCAGGTCCCAAAGTCAAAACGAACACTGCGGCATCACTGAGAGTTAAAAACTGTCTAAATTCTTTCATCTGTAATAAAATGATCAGCGTTGCTGCTTTACCAGGTGTAACAATTAAGTTTAACATCCAGGCATCCATGAAAACAGAATTTATTCAATTTAAAGTTAGAAGTTAGCAGGAAGTTAGCTCGCTATTTACCAACTAAACACGATATGCCATGTTATGACTGAGAGATTTCTGAAAAAATTCAAACGTACAGCTCTGCTATCACTTCCAACATAAAAGAAGACAGAAAAATAAACAGCAGTGACGTTCGTAGGGTTACTGAAGTTGGGTTAGCTGCTATATAATGATCTCCTACGTGATCGCTAGCAAAACATCTACGTTAGCATAACATTAGCACAGTGAAGCTGAAAGATGAACATTAACTTTTTTCCACTCGATAAAAGTTAACGTGAGGGTTTCTGGTGGTTAGGTAACAAATGCAATCGCATGGCAGGATGCTGTAAACGGACCAAATTTCAGTCAGGAGAACAACTGAGATAATCCATCCATAATATGAGGTTAGTCATTAATATACTGCAACAACATGGGAATAGAGCAGCTGCGAGAGAATTCAGCATTAATGAATCAATGTAGAGCTGGGCGATATGAGATTTTTTCATATCACGATATGTTTTTTTCATTTCAGGCGATAACGATATCTATCACGATATAAGCCAAATAACTATATTTGTAAGATTTAAATGTGCCGTTGCTCACAAGTAAAATGTAAAATAATCAGCAGCTTGTTTTTATTTAAATATTACCAAAACAGGTGCGGCTTGATGACACCATCAACATGCGCTATTGTGGTAGAGTGGTATAGTAAAAATCTCTACCGTTGGCCAAATTTCTATTGTTTCTACCGTATACCATTTATACCGCCCACCCCTACTTCATGGGATGGGTTTCTATGGTCAAACAGCTTCACCCAAGCTTTACATCACCAAGCACAATGTAAATTATTGGAGACAGCGCTGTAAAGCATTAAGCTGGACATGGAGTGACAAATCACACTTCCCTGTTTGGCAATCCAATGGACAAGTCTAGGGTCGGTGGTTGCCAGAATTGTACCGCACTGTGCCGAATGAGAAATTCGTTGGAGGGGAATTATGATGTGGGGTTGTTTTTCACGAGTCCATTAGTTCCAGTGAAAGTTAACTGTTAACACTTTAGTATAAAAAGACATTTTTAAAAATTTCATGCTCCCAACTTTATGGGAACAGTTTGGAGATGGCCTATTCCTGTTCCAACATGACTGCACACTAGTGCACACAGTCCATAAAAACATGGATGAGTTAAGTTGGTGTAGAAGAACTTGATTGGCCTCAAACTTTACCAGCACTTCATGTCCAACATCAGTGTCTGGCCTCACAAATGCACTTCTGGAACAATGGTCACAAATTCTCATAAACAGTGCTAAACTTGTGAAAACCTTTTCCATTACAGTTGAAACCATAATAATAATAATAATAATAATAATAATAATAATAATAATAATAATAATGGGATATCACTCAAGGTCTTACGCATGTCAGGCAAACAAGTAAAAGCAACATAATGTATATAACGCCAACTGGATGTTATCACTTCAGCTTATGACCCTTCGTTTTGACTGATAGGTTGCTCACCATTGGGGATTAAACCGTTAGCTCTCTCTTTCACACGTGATTGACACAGTCTTCCACATAGGGTAAATACAAAAACATCCCGAATGTACCTTTCCGCATATATTCCTAAATTTAACTTAACTTTAAGAAATGAATCGTCCCTCACTTATAATCAACGAAGAATCATGCACCGGGGACCTTTTTTCAGATGAACCGGTGGAACACCGGTTAAACTCGTGGGTTCAATAGAAATCCCGCTAACTTTAGCTAGATGGAGGAGTTAAGTAGTCCTCTAGCACATTTAAGTATTGCCAAATTGAATTAACCTTTTGCACAAGGCTCGCATACCACCTTTCACCGAAAACCGCAACACTAGATATAACGTTAACGTGGACTAGAGTCATGTTATCTTTCAATTAGATAATTTGCGTACTCGTTTGAATTCGACATTCGGTAAGTCAAATGTAATGCGGTGGATATTGTGTTTATCGATAGTTCAAGCACTTGATCTAGTTCGTTAAATCCAAGACCGGCACTGCTTTCTGTGTATTGAGGTTTCGTTAACTTATGGGCTCTGGGCAGGCCCTGTCTAATAGCCTGCTAACCTTATCATGGCTAACATTAGATTCCAACAGAAAAGCTGTTTTTGCTAAATCAACAGTGAACACAAAAATTGGCTGGTATTTACCCCCTTGATCAGTTCTAGGACTGAAATGCTTCCAAATAATGAGGGCTTCTGCAAACTAAGAGTCCTCGCCTCCCTCCTTCACCGGTGCGCCCGTGCCAGTGTATGATTTCTGCTGTATCAGAGACAATATGGCTGACCACCACCTACATCCTACGTCCCAGACATTTTCTACGGGGGCACTCGAGGGACAAACTTGTAGAAAGTTGCAAAACCATAGACTGTAGTACTGGAGACTCGTTAAACAATTATTAAGATATTCTGGATTGTATTTTTAAACCAAGGTAGTATATTTTTTGTACACAAAGAAAACACGACTGAAAGACGTTATTGTCCTTATATTTTCTAACTGTCCTGTATTTCACAAGGAATGCTTGCTGACTCTTGGCTTAAAGAAACAAGCCAAGAGTCAGTGTGTTCCACAAAATATCCCATCGTCAGTAGCTCTCCTCAGGCTCAAGCTTGCGTATTGGGTGTTAGTGTGACAGATAAAAACTGAAAATACGAGAAGAAGAAGAAACATTAAACTAAAATGAACTTACAGAAGCATATTTTTATTGTTTTCTTGGCTGAAAGGTGTGTCAATTTCTTCCAATTATCTGAGGCTTGTTTCTAATGAATACTTAAATATCAAAGGTGTTTCTACAAGCAGCTGAATCATGGTGTGCACTTAGTTATTCACAAAACTGCACAGAGTGCTGTGAAAACTTCTTTTTCACATGACTGTAAATGCATGGAGCCGGAAGAGAGCTTGTTGGAATAATATGGTATGCTTTGAGGTCCTTGAGGAAACTTCAAAACTATGCTAGCTGTGTCTAAAAGGGGGCGCCCCAACATTAAGAAACATGCATGCTGTTCTTCAGCCTGTCTCCTTAGTGGAAAGGAGTAGTGGAAACATAATATAATGTATACCACACAGCTGTGCATCAGGATTCTTACACAGTGTTGGCTTCTTTTTGGAGCTCACTGGTTTATTGCAGTCTTTGCAATGATTTCATAAATTAGGCCAAAATGATTTTCAAATAATTGTGTTTTGAATAATGATTTATGCACATATGGTTTTTAACCACGAAATTTTACATTTTTAAAGCAAACAGAATTTTTGCTCTCTTATCTCTTACTGAAAAAATAAGTATCTTCAAATATATTTTTAAAATATGTGCCTTTAAAATGTTAAATATTCTAATATTATATTATTTTATAAATAATAACTATTATTTTGAAGTTGGAGTGCTGAGAATTTAGTCTGTTTTGTATGTTTTAAAAACATTTTAGATCGACTTTATTAAAAATAAAGACCTCAAAGTGCGCAAACTAGCATTAATATTTTTTTTGTTTGTCTTAATTTTTGATCTTTCAAACCTTAGTATTGGATCACAACAAACTATTACAAATCTGTGTATACATGTTTGGAGGTGGAGGAGAGGTTCTGTTGCAGTTCCTTGTGCATTAAAATGGTTGTATTCAGTTTCATTGTTGTGTTGGAAAAATCATCTCCTGACAAAGTCTCGAGCTGGAAGTCATCTTTTCATCCAGTATAATCTGGTTCACCTTGTGCATCCCCTCTCAGCACACTTTTGTTTTGTTTTTTGCATGGCATCCTTCTGTCTCTTGTACGGTCTTAGCATGTCAAAAGCACTTACTTTCAAATTTTTCAAATCAATAAATCATGTTCTTTACTTTCATATAATCTCCCTTTTAAATTATACAATCTAGCATTTCTGAAACTTCCTTATGATCAGGATCTTTAATAGCTTCTTAATATTCTAAAATAGAAATAGGATTCAGTCATCATATCGCACATCAGCAATTTTAATCAAAAATAGTACAAAAACATTTAACAGGAACATTTGGTTAATGTAACTTGTTTATATTCCCAAATACCCTGCTTATCAGATAAGTGAGATGTTTAAAACAGCAGGAGCCTATTTTTGCTTTGTTCTCTGAGAGGTAGTTGGAGTAGAAGATGACATATTCATTTCTGATGGCGCACAGCGTGCAGGTCATGGAGGTTGTTAGGGGCAGTAGGTTTCTGTCAGTGAGACTATTCATTGTGCTCTTTGGGGAAACTGATTGAGGATATCCTCCAAACAATTGCTGTGGATGTTGAAATTGGTTCAAAAGTTTTCCAAGGTATATTCTTCCTCCCATCCATCTCCGAGATTCAGGAGGCTCCAAGCAGCGAACAATTGTATTTATTGGGTCCAAGCTCATTCTTCATGTCTAGTTAAAATGTAGACTTGCATGCTTCCTTACATCTAGGATACATTTTCCTATGTGATGTCACAACTTAATATATGTTGCTTTGTGTGGGGGGATTTGTCGGTGTTGAGTGGACAGTTATCGCTTAAAAATCTCTACACAAGCACACTACCTTTAATTACTCTGTGGTGACACAGAGGGTCAAAGGGAAGTGCACAGTAGAGTTTGATTATATGTCACAGAAGAGAATGGGAATTTAGTTACCCAGGAAAAATCTGTTTTACTTATCTAGTAAGGGTTAGATATATAAATATTTAGGGAGCATGATTCTTTTAAAAGCAAAGGAGTCATCAAACAAAGCCAAAAAAGAGAAAACACAATAGCATATGAAATCTTTAGGGACCATTACAGGCATCAGGTTACTGCGGAAGTCAGCCTCTTTCCTCCTTCAGAGCTTTCTGTGCAGATATGTTGTTGCATTATTTTGACAGGGGAGAAATCAGGCCACAAATTAGTCACCTTTCACCTCTAAATCAAGGACCACCGCCCTAAGGCTGAGACAGAGCACCAGGAGCAGCAGCCAAACTCGGAGCAATCAGAGGCCTGCCCCGCTGGACTGATATTGTCTGTACTAATGTCTTGGGTCATTCCACCACTTCCTCCCACTTGCATGTTGGGAGGAAAACAATAGTCTAGAGAGTGTGCGTTGTGAGAGCACAGTGTGTCAACACCGTTGCCCATATAAAACACACACACCCACACACTCTTTTAGACTAATATAGCACTCAAATTTTGGTGTATCATGGATTTCCCTCACTTCCCAATTAAATGTATCATAAAGACATTACACCTCTGTTCAATGACCGTCGTTCACTGTTTAGATGGCCTCTTTTATTCCTCTCTCAAACTGGGTGACTCATGCTATGGACTCTCAACTCTGTGGCCCTCTGCCCACAGAGGTCTGAGACATCTTCCAGAAGTGTGACATTATTTTCGAGAGATTTGATTGGCCAGTGATTGAGATTTCAGACCTTTTGATCTCTAATCTGGAACAGGTTAGGTTTGCAGCATAAATTACAATATCGATGTAGCCCAGTAAGAAGTGAAGCACCATCATAGTACAGAAAATCCCAAGAGATATCTGAATAAGATGAAATCTGTTTACAGCTCTGTTTTCATCAGATTTTGTTTTGGTTTTACATGAACAACAATATGGGGACGAGAACCTTTTGATTAGTTTGATTTCCAAGCTCTTTAGCTCTGTAGATTATGTGTTATTACCTTTTTGGAGGATTTTATGTTGCCTATGCTTTGATTAATGCATTGAGTAATTTCACAAAAGCTCACTATCTGCAAAGCTAAAGGCCTATTCAAATGGATACCAACATGGGATAATAAATTGTGACAATTTGCTTAATCATCTCAGGGATTTTGATGACAGTGGAAACACAGCATCAGATGAAGCAACATATTAGTGCTTAGACATTCTAGTCCCTAAAACTAGAAATTTGGTAGCTTTTGTTCCAACTATGTTTTATTTTGTGCTCTTTAAAACTAACATGATAAAAGTACATCTTTAATAAGTACACTAGAGCATAAGAAGATACCTTAGTATAGCTGTTCATATAGTCTAATGTTATGGCACACAGATATATTGCTATGTCTGGCCTATTCACTTGTTATTTGGCTGCTGCAAAGGATTAGGTTGCTCCCTGTTCTCCCACTCCACCCATCCATGGAAAACAATCATCAAAATCGGAGGCAGCCGATCCAAGACCGCTGTCCCTTGAAAGGGCCCACAGTCCGTGTCCAGTCGTTATCTTCTCTGACAGACTGGCTGGTAGGGAACCAACTTCAGGGTTAGTGAGGGGGCGGAAGGTATCTCTAATGTCAAACAGTTGAGCTACAGCACCATAAGGGTCTGTTTAGGGCTAAATGTGGTGGAGGGAAACAGTATCGCAATCTTAGCCCTTCCTATATGCCCCATGGTATCTCCCACTAATGCTTACCAGATGGAGCTGAAGATGGGGAAAGTGCTGCTGATGACTGACAGAATAATTTATGTTCAGATGGAATTTTATACAGTCATGTACAGGGATATCACTAACTTTAATGAGAAACCACACGAGTCAGAGGTGGTTGCTTCATACTTTCCATCATGTGTCCTGTATCTAAAAGTTATCAACTGACTAATGCACAGGCTCTTGTGTGCAGGCTTACACTACTGTTGGTCGCAGTCACAATTCTACAGCTTTTGTTTTAGTAATGAAAAATCCTAATTCTGTGACATATCTCTGACTGAAATGTTTTCATCAAACTCATTTTAATATTAGACAAAGATAACCCAAGTAAATACAATATGGGGCTTGGGTGGGTGCCATTCTGTGCTTCAGGGGTGTGCCTGGTTCCCTGGTTGTTCCTGCTGGTGTGCTTTCTGGATCTGTTCACTGTCCCTGGACTCTTGTGGTGCTAATGGGTCCTCTTCCAGGATGACCATGCTGCCTGGGACGTGCTGTCTAGACTCTAAATCACTAGTTGTCACCTACCTGCATGTTTGTGACTCAGCAGTGTTCACTACAGTTTGGTCTTCACTCTTGGTTGTGGCCACTGGGAGTTTCTGGTCACATGTGGATTTTCATCACTGCTCTGTGTTCTGATGTTTGGACTCTGGTAACCTTGATCCAAGTGGGGGTGTGATTCCAACATAAATCACCAGACTTCCTGTTGTTGTTTCTGCTTGTTTCTTCATCTGTGCTCTGTGTTCTGTTTCTGAGTTTCATTGTGGTGCATTTATCCGTCATAGATGTGAAATAGACATCAGGTATAGGATACTGGGGAAGATGACATGCATATGTTCACATTTTTTTAAGAGCTAATGATGTGACAGAGGACCTGCATCTGATGGTACATATGACATGTCAGTTGGCTTCCTGTTTCAGGGCACTTGTAAGCACTTTCCTTACTCCTTGATTTATTAGTAAGGTGTAGAAATACATTTAGAAATATACGTGAATGTTTCCCTTTCTGTTTAACTGTGACCATAACTATTCAAGTCTGTTATTGTTGCTTGTTTTGGGTCAGTAAATTTGTCACAGCTATCAAAACCAATTAAGTAACTGGTTATATAGTACTGATTGTGTGTGCCATAAATATCATGCTAGCTGACAGTTTACAGTATGTTCACTGTACAGTTGTTGACTGATTTTCACTGTCTTTTTGGAGACATTCCCATCCAGGAATTAAAATAAGCATCAGATGAGTGTAACAGGCCATCTGGGCCCCGACTGATGTCAAAACTGGCAGTGACCCAGGGCCTCGGGCCCCACAGGGAGGGTGTCAGTAAGGTCGAGCACTGGAGCTTTTTTTCCCCTTCCTGTGCTTCTATGACATCTTCCTGTCAGGGGGAACAAAGGCCGCTGGGAGCCATTTATCGAGCTCCACAGAGCTCTACAGTTATCAGATAAGTTCACACAGCAGCTTCTAATTAGGTTTTAGCACTGACTGGTGGAGAGAACTGGAGGGTTGGGATGCTTTATGCAAGTGTGCAGTTATTTGTGCTGCCCCCAAGGACTGCAATAACTTTCTTTCAGAGGGGTGTACCTCCAAACATCACTTCGAGACTTAGAGCATTCAGTTTAGTCATATAATAAATCAAGATTAACTTTGAGTTCTACTATATGCACTACTATATGTGGGAATGAAAACTTAAAAAAAATGCTGTCTACATGCAAGAATGCTACATGTGGTGTCATAAGGGGACCAAGGGCATGTGGTCAGAAATATAAACCAGACAAAACCACTTGAAAACTAGTTGAAAATTCAGATTATAGACAAATCTCCTGTTTTCACAAATTAGGATTGTTAAGATTGTCTACAGTAACAATCTGCTGGCAACATTTAGCATTCTTGCACAAGATGCAACTGTGAGACAAATTGCAGTTTACTCATACAGACATTGTTTTTAGATTATTTAGGGCAAAATATAGAACTCAGGGAATGTTGGAGCAAAACAAACCACAGCACTGTTAGGAATTCATTTTTCAAAACTTAAAAATGTGAAAAAGCGTTTAGTTTATTTGAAAAATATAGCCTTGATTTGTAATTAGAAGCAAATGGCATTCCAATTTAGACTCTCCAAATATCCCAAATCCACTACACTGCAAGTCTATAAGTTAGCAACAAACCAAATACTGTAAATGGTATTTCTGGTATAGCACAGTCCTTCTATGCTGAAAGTGTTTCGGCCTTAGTATCATGGGAATAAACAAGCCTACATAGATTTAAGATAAGATAAGATAAGATAGAACTTTATTAATCCCTCGGGTGGGTTCCTCTGGGAAATTCGATTTCCAAAAAAAGCACAGCAACGACCGAAGTTACAGTTACAGAATATTTATATATATATATATATATATATATAATATACTATATATATATATAATAATATATAATATATATAATATAGATATATATTATGAGTACTAGATTATGATAGAATATATATAAGACATATATAAATACAGAGACAAATATAAATAAAATATACAAAGGGGATAAATAGAATAAATAGGAATAAAAAAAAAAAATACAAGTGAATTGCACATTTCAAGTATTGAGTCTATTGCACTGTTGACTATTTACAAAAAGTATTGCACAAGGTATTGTACAGTGAGGTGAAGATTTGTATAGATCTTACTATTGTTTAATTAGAACCTAGAACAAACAACACAAAAACCATAACAAATGTGTTTCAGACCCTAAAAAATTCTTACAATCTTCATTTTTGGTTATTATTAAGCTAATCTTAATTGTTATTCTAGCTGAGATTTCAAAAAGCTCTAAAAATGTTCCCGAGTCTGACTCGTATTAAACAGGAACTCTTTGTGGCTGCACTGATATAACACAATCATTATAGAACAGCCGCGGCGATCAAGATGTACGAATTGTACAAGATATATTAGCTTGGCACAAAAGCCTAGAAGGATTCATCATATAACTACTGCAAAAGCAAAACTGTTGTTTTTACATACTGATTTTGTACAAAACAACAAGGATCTAACAGTGAGGTGAATTTAAATTACTTTTGGAATGAGCCAGACTATTTGTTTCCTTTTCACTGTCAGATGCTTCGTTTACAGACTGTTGTGTTTATTAAACTTCTACTGTAGCTCTAAGCAAGAACACAAGTACAGTTAGGTCCATATATATCTGGACACTGACACAAGTTTAGCTTTTGTACCTGTTTACTGAAACATATTCCAGTTATAGTTATATAATGGACATAATGTGTATCCACATTCAAACTGGATGAAGGGTTTAGGAGTTTCAGCTCCTAAACCCTTCATCCAGGGGTTTTGCTCCCTCTTTTTAAGGGAAGCAAAAGTACGTAATTGGACGCTTGACTCAAAACAGTTATTTCATGGACAGGTGTGTGCAATTTCTTTGTTATGTCATTATCAGGTAAGCATTTAAAAGGCTTGGAGTTGGTTTGAGTTGTGGTGCTTGCATTTGGAAGGTTTTGCTGTGAACAGACAACATGCGGTCAAAGGAGCTCACCATGCAGGTGAAACAAGTCATCCTTAAGTTGTGAAAACAGCAAAAAAAAACATCTGAGAAATTGGTACAATATTAGGAGTGGCAAAATCTGCAGTTTGGTACATCCTGAGAAAGAAAGAAAGCACTGGTGAACAGTGGTAGATGATCACAGAACAGTTTCCACGGTGATGAGAAACCCCTACATAACAGCCAACCAAGTGAACAACAGTCTCCAGGAGGGTTAGGCGTATCGACATTCAAGTGTACTGTAAAGAAAAGACTGCATAAACGTAAATACAGAGAGTTCACTGCAAGCCACTCATAAGCCTCAAGAATTTGCTAAGACAGTGTCATATGACGGTGTTTCATAATATAGATGGACAATGACCCAAACAAACAGCCAAATCAACTCAGGAGTTTATTAAAGCAAAGAAGTGGAATATTCTTGAATGGCCAAGTCACCTAATCTTAGCCCAACAGAGCATTTCACTTGCTGAAGACTAAACTTCAGACACAAAGGCTCACAAACAGACAGCAACTGAAAGCCGCTGCAGTAACAGCCTTAAAGCATTAAAAAGGAGGAAGCCCAACATCTGAGTTCATACATGAGTTCAAGACTTCAGGCTGTCATTGCCAGCAAAGGGTTTTCATACAAGTGTTAGAAATGAACATTTTATTTTCAGTTATTCAATCTGTCCTGTTGCTTTTGAGCATCTGAAATTAAGGGATTGTTTTCAGATTGCTTTGGTTCCTCACATTTTTACGCAATCTTTTCGTTCAACCCATTGAATAAAAGCTGCAGGTCTGCATTTCAACTCCATCTGAGTTTTTTCATTTCAAATTCATTGTGGTGATGTAGGGAACAACAATTAGAAAAAAGTTCTCTCTGTTTAAATATTTATGGACCTAACTGTAAGAATATTTACCAAACAAAAAAAGAACAATCTAATCTTTTAACATACATACAAACTAATCTGCTTGCAGACTTGCAGATTGAGTACTATAATCCATCACAGTGGACAGCTTGTCCACTTTTATTCTCACGAGAGTGAGGTTACACGGTTATACTATGCAGATTTTTCCAGTCAATATGCAGGCATTTATCCTTCAACCCTGTAAAAAGGTGTACTCCCATCAGCCTCTTCATGTGGCCAGAGCGCTGCTCTTCTGATGTAATCCACAACATTAACATTCAGCAGCAGCTGTGTTTGTCTGCACACAGGGTGGTAGGTGATATTAGCCGTGACTGATAAACACCACATGTGAATCCCAACTAAAATGATATACTACCAAAGTGGAGTTATGCACAGATCAGTCCTTAGATTTCATTATTTGTGTAGACCCTGCCTCCAAATTTGCAAAACTGTGGTCATGTACATAGGTCATGTAAACAAATTAGGCCTTTTTTTCTCATAGGAGACTACAAACGTTTATGAAGAAACTTGAAGCTCTACCACCAAAATTCAATCTTTGTCTCTTCTTCTAGTCCATGGATAAACTTGTGCAGTTCTTGATATTTCCATCAAGAAGTGATTACTTCTTGATGGAAATATCAAGAACTGCCTTGGTGGGCCTTGAATGGAATTTCATGGTTATCACTACGAGCGCATCTAAAAAGCTTTTTTTTCTTCTTCTGGTCTGTTTGTATGCAATTTTTATTTATTAAAAAAACGGTTACCAAAGAGAAACAAAGGACAACAATGTAAATGTGACATGCAATTAAACCACTTCTGATGAAATGAGTTGATCATGGATTCTTGCATGATAACCAGTTAGCCTTTTTCTGCTTTGGGCTCTATTGTATCGGCTGGGGGCCTGAATGAACAAAACTATAAAGACGTTACCACTACAGGTCTGTAACAAGTAGAGAAATGTTGACATTGTTTTTTTATTTATTGCTTAAACTCAGTTTATTTACTTACATTGAGTGAACCTACCCAGGAAACAAATTGTAAGCTTTGTTCAGCTTTGTTATAGACCAAACTATTTCAAAATATGGCAAATATTGTGTCACAAAAACAGTTTCTGTGCATCACCAATAAAAAAAAACCCTTTAACAGGCCATGCAAAGGGGACCTTTAATGATCTCATCACATGCTTATTGCTATGTTGGCAGAAAAATGCAAGAGAGCCATGCCTATGTAAAAATAAATTTAATCTCAAAGTAGATAAAAACATGTAGATAAAATCATTGCCTCTCAGATATCTCCTCTGACACTCCAGAAACTATTCAGGTGCATAGATCTATTTGAGAGAAAAGCTTCACACAAACATCTTGAGGACCAGCACCAAAGTGTTTGTGAATGTTCATTAGACCAGACCAAACCATTGTTTTTGTTTGTTTGTTTGTTTTCTTTTGTTTTTAATCACAAATAGGAATGACATCAGTAACATTTGTGCATGATAAAACCCATATTTGTAAATTGGAACCAGTAAAAAACACTGATGATATGTTTTATTGCTCCGTGCAATAATCAATCAGTCAATTAGCTTGACAGGTAATAGTGGTATAACAGATGACATGTAATCATGTATTCTGATATATCTTTAAATTATCCCAAATTATATTTAAAAACTGTGCAATTATACTAACATTTTCATGGATTACTTGACATTTTTATTATGTTCTTTATGATATTTCCAGGAACTTAAGACTACTTTGGATGGACTACTCTTTGAATCAGCAGCATCTTTTTCTACTCAATAGTTAAAGCACTGGTTATTATCATCAGTGTGGTAAGGCTCAACAGTTTCATTGTAAGTGCAATTTGATATGAGTCACTGTAAATGCTGAGTATGCAAAGTGAATTGTACTTGTACTGAAAATGTTTAAAGTACAAAACAAAGTACTCTTGGACATAGAGTTCTAGGATGTTACAGATTTAAAGTATTCTCCATTTTTTGTTTTGTTTTGGTTCATAGCTTCCAACTATTAGTAATCATACTTTAGGTGAGTGATCCAAAGTGCTGTACATAAGTGTAACCCCATCATTGATGTAGGGTTAGTATGGATTTCTGTTCCCCTAACATGTAAGATCTGTTCATCTAATGTATGTATGTAAGTAACCTTCTTAGTGCTGCTCACTTTGTATGTCACAATTTTATAATTTCAGATTATTTATCCACTATACCCCAAACAGTAACAATTTGTGTACTGGATTTCTGGCAACTGCTGGAGACATACAGGTAGTTCACTTGGCAATCCTCCTGTCTCACTAAATAACCAGACAAAGCCTCACAAAGTAAGAGGACTGCTGTAGTGCTGAGATGCTTCAAGTCTCTAGGAATATCTGCTGGGAGGAAGAAAAAAAATCCCACACTGCTCCAGTTTAGACACTTTCATCGTCGACTTAGCTGTCTCACACTGTTTCCATGCATTTTCACACAGTCTCGTCTGTCCTTCACCTGTGAACAAAGATGAATAATCACCTTCAGTTTCAGTACCGTCATCATCTCTGCGCACCCATGGAAAGTAACTCATTGCACTCAGGATCGTTGCAATTACACAGTTGTGATATGACACTTATAAATGATTAGATTTTTCACAAACACGGTTGTCAGTGTAAAAATGCGTTATATGCTTTGCACTAAAGTCTCTAAATTAATCTCTCAAATTATTTGCAAAATAACAGAATTTAAAAAAATCACTCATTAGAATTCATTAAAGCACATTGTCAGGTCTACACTACCTGAAAACAATATTCAACAATTAATATACTGGGGTTTTTACTAGCTATTTTTTAAGCTGTGCTTACCAATCTGACCAAAGCTCTTTTCTGAATTTGTCATTTTCGTATTTCCTCATCTGTCGATAAAAGCGGACACGTCGTAAGTTCTAAGTGCACATGTCTTCTGAAGTGTTTGTTTATCAGAAAGTCCAGCACGGTGTGTATCCATCGTGTATGTTTCTCATAAATATTGGAACCTTTTGGAATTAGCAACGCCCATAATTGCATCCTTCCTTATGTCCTGCTGCAGGAATGGTGCAGGAATTGTAAATAGATTTTCACCCCGAATAGAAGCTGTATTCCACAGAACGCGGATTTAGTGAGACTGGTTTTAATAAAATAAGCTATACGTGTGCGCATCGGTCGAGGCAGAAAGTATAGAACATAATAAATGTAGTGTCGTGTATGCTGGTGAGCTGAGAATCTTCTGAGTATGTTACCCCTTTGCGCTGGTTGCTGAGGCAGAATGTGCAGATAGTCCGGGGCTGTTTGCCCTGCCCACCCCCCTTCACTTCTCTGTACACAGCACTCAGGCACGGCTGTTCGCCCTCTCTTCCGTCTCCTACCACCAGCACGTTGGCCAGGTGAGAAATATAGCTGGATGCCAGGCGCAGCGTCTCGATTTTGGAAAGTTTTCTGTCCACCGGCTCGGTGGGGATGAGCGTCCGCAGCGCCGTGAAGGCTGTGTTGACGTTCTGGGTCCGGTGTCTCTCTCTGGCGTTGGCAGCGTTCCGCTGTCCGACTACAACTCCACCGGACTCCCGCCCGTACCCCTGATCGGTGCTGCCGTCACTCTCGCTGCGGTTCCCTTCCTCGTCGTCCGACATCAAGGTTAGGTCCGCGGGGTAAGAGAAAGGATGCGTGGAGACGGGTCTCAGCATAGTGAAAGCCATTTCTCAAAGGCAGGCGGGGAAATCAATCCCTTATATTCAAGTGGAAAACAGCGGCATGGAGACAAGAGTCGTGCGTAAAAGTTGCAGTAGCTCAAAGCCAACAGACTTCCCCAATACGTTCTGACACCCTCCTCCTGTGTGATAGTCAGCGTGACAGGCAGGGCTCTTATACAGTATACAGTAGTCTGCCAGCTTTACGTGAGGGGTGGAGCAGATGCAGACACTTCCATTTCCCCAAATGTTCGTTCTTAAAGTCTGGTGTTCATTTGATGATATGTGTAACACAAATGGACGCGTCACATGGAGAGTGTAGAGCAAAAAGGCACAAAAGAAGATGACAAATCTCGATTGTGCCGATCGTTAAAATAAAAACAAATCTGATCTGGTCTTTATCTGTCTGCTACTGGAGATTAGGGTCGTTTTAGACAGTATGGTACGTTGTTTGAAATAACACTGAGCAAAGATGTAAATTAGTCAATATAACAATATCTCAGCAAGCCACAACATGAAACAGCTGGTTACACAAATGCCCTGAGCCTTAAGTATCATTCTGAATGTCTCCCTTCTGCTATACACAGGTCATGTGACATGACACTGTCTGCGAGTTAAATTAATAAATACATGTATCATTATCTGCGAACCATTTGAAGGTTAAATGGGGGAAAATAGACCCCACTCAAAAACATGAGGACAGGGCTGTGCTTTTTCAGTATTTTTGATGATATTCAAGATTCTTTGATGATTTTTAGAACATATGAGATCCTCAAATAATGTTCACTGTATGGTCGTTTCTATAAACCTCAGGTAGTTAAACAGTTTTCTTGTAAACAAAGGTTCTTTTCTAGTAGCAGTAGAGTCCAAAAAGGTGTCGTACATAAAGTCCACAATATTTGTCACATTTAAGTGAAAGTTATTAATAATAACACAATAGCATCATTAACAGATAAAACGAATGCAGTCACAATGTCAGTTTGAAACACCTATCAATGCAGTGCACAAACTTCACTTTCTACATTGCCCATAAAACAAAATGAACAACTTTGAGCTTTATAAGTTAAATGAAGGGAGGATACACTAGTAACAGACTTCTCTCATCATTAGACTCAATGAGCAACAACAATTAAGCAGCTGAACAGTCATAATATTGCATTATTACAATCATACAGGGGCGGAAACATTTAATTTACCATTTAAATGCATTTATTTAATTGACAAATTAAATAAATGTATCTATAACTTGTAACAAAGGATTTGAATGTTAGTACATTGCTGCTTCATATAAATAAAGAAGCTGAATTTATGTTTTATGGTTGACAGTAAACAGTCTGTACAGACTTTAGAGGACCATTGTAGAGGTACTCTCCACCACTATCATCCAAGGCACCATGAGAATGGTTGTCTTTTAGAAATACAACTGTCTGAAATTACCTGTGACTGGTGACACGGTGTAAATGCAGTTATATATAACTAGCAAACATCTCATCAGCTCAGCACTTTGGAATTTCCTCTTAAATTTTGAACTTCCTTTCAAGTTCTTTGTCTCTTCAGCCAAAGTTGCTCCAGCTTGTCTAACTTCGTTTAGGTGTAGAAATCCCATGAGGCCAGCAATTACAAGAGGATGTGAAATAAACAACAAAGCTTTCACATAACGACAACTTTTAAGTGTTTTAATGTATTTTGATTGACTGTTGATCAGCTGATCAGCGCAAGAAACCACTGAAACATTTTTACAAGAATGGCAGAAACTCATTGTCTTCATAAGAACTGATGTATAACATGCATCCATATCACCAGTGTTCTCTCAGATTTTAAAAACAACACAGTCAGCACAATTGCTGGCTCCTGTCCTTAGAGCGCCAATGTGATTAGTGGCTCTACAGTTGTCCTATTAAAGTTTGTCTAATGGGTTAAGTGTTGTGGGTAAATAAACACTCAGCAGATGCTGGAGGTGATCAAGCCTGAACCTTTCCCCATGGAAACCGAGCAAATGGTTTCCAGATTGACTGGTGCTGTTAGGATTTAAGTAAGCAGGGAGGGGTTGACTGAGTGTCATCAAAGGGCCTGTTTTTACAAACACAATCCCCCAAGACATCAAACCTGGACACTGCAAGTCCTGACCCCCGGGGGCCCCCAGCTCAGCTGCACCAACAATACCACGACCTACACGGAACCTGGTCCCACTCATAAAGCGGGACACCACAGTGTTTTACCATGCTCTGCCAGCCGGCAACACGACCCCACTGCATTTTCTCTCCTTTCACAGTCTGGAACCATAAATTCTTCACCCCACCAAACCCCTCACCTCCTACATCAACTTAAAGGAATGCCATTAAATGTCTGTTGAGGTGATTAAGGTTGCAAAGCTAGTAGGTTGGATGTGTGTCAGGAAAGATGCGAAAAGTGTACTTAGTAACAGCTTCTTTTAGGTAATGCAGGTATTACAGGATAATCCGACCGATGTGACATTATCTATATAAATGATCTGCTTTCCTGGCTGATTATGCTACACCAATCCAGTTTGATTGTATGAATAAATGAATTGCAATGTCTTGTCTGTGTAATATTCAGTTTTTAATAATGGCATTAATTAGAGTGAATTCATCATTCTGCTGTTCTGTGTGTTAGTTAGGTAGTGGGTGAGCGACCTGGATGTCACTCTGAAAACAAAAGTTCTATCATGAATTGAATACCTTGATGGTCCTCACCCCACCTTTCCCAATTTACTATTTTTGTTTCTCCAGACAGGTTTCAGTAGATACAACTTTTGAGTTTTTATGGAGTTGTTTTTGTGCTAGAACCTGGTTGTTTGAGCTGTTAGTAGACTCTGTTTTAAAACTAACTTTAGTTAGTTTGCTACCTAGTTTTTAGCTAGTGGGGACTGGATGAAAGCACTCATGCAAGTTGCTCCAAAAGCATCATAACCTATTCTTGTTGTTGCTTTTATAGTTTAGGGTTAGTCATGTGTTCTTTACATGGAAATCACTGTGCAGGCCCTAAGAAGCAATCTGAAGAGTCTCAGAAGGTCTGATTTTTGCAGTTGTGTTACCGTTTATTGATTAATGACACCTGCTGAACATTCTTGCACATGGTACCTTACCTACCCTAAAAGTATGTGTGAATAAGCTGTTTTTCCATTGTCAGCACTTATTTTGTATAGAATAGAGAGCTTATGAAGCTCAGCATTGACAGCTTTCAACACCCACAGCACACAGCCTTTTTACTATTCTCATAGCACCTTCAGGTGAAAATAGTTCAACTTTTGGAAAAATACTGCACGTTACACATGTCACTTCCATCTGCATTTCCAACACAAAACCTGCTGCATATGGATGTAGAGCCTAATTATGAAGCTTTTGTCTGTGCTGATAAACCCATCATCAGCTAGCACTTGTCTACAGAAAGGTTTTAGCCCTTTTTCAAAGTCTTGGTTTAGCAGCAAGTTTAAACTGTTGTTCTATGCCAGCTAGAGAAGGCAAAAAAAACCTCTCTTGCTAAATCCAAAACATGTCCACCAAAAAATCTTTCAAACAGCAACAGAGCAAAAAAAGGTAGAGTGAATAAGTGGATCTAAACACAAATGATAAAAGCTGAAAATCACACTTGGTCTGAGTTTTCTCTAACAGAGTCAAGTGTAATTGAATTAAGCTTTAAATCAAATTTCTGTTTTTATTTGCATTTTACACACGATCACAGCGTTCTGCAGTTCTTCAGGTTGTATTTTGACCACTTTAATTCCACTCTACTTTAAGAGAGTGGAATTAAATAGAAATATCTTATGATTTCTTTAGTTCTACTGTCATGGAGCTTTTTCCCACATTAATAACATCAGCATACCAGACAAGAAATATTCAGTGATGCTTTAAGAATTGATGTCAACATTCTGAAATGGTATGACATGATGAATGAAAAAGACATACTTAAGCACTTATTTGTCAGTTTCTTGTGTTTTTATCAAACAAAGGAAGCAAGCATTATACCTTGACTGTTCCCATCATAAATATACACCAACAGGAAAGTGTTATTTCATTTTAAATATAGTTTACACATTTAAATAAAAATAAAAGCAATTCAGGTTTTCCAAGCAGTAAATTCCCTTTTTGCTATACCTCCTGGTGTATAAAGTGGAGTGACGAGAGAACAAGATCTGTCTGCATTAACGCTGTGGTGTCTCCTGTGAGGGAATCTGCTGGGAAAAACTGCAGTCAGATACCTTGACTCATCGGAAACAGCTGCACTGGAGGGAGAAGAGCCTGCTCAGCCAGCTGCAACCTGCTGCAAAGGGACATTTATGTGTGCTTGTGCTTTTGTATGCATGTGTTTGTGCTTTATTAAAGGGAATACAGCAGAGACTGGTAGGGGTGGCAGAAGGTTAAGAGTATGGAGGAGCCGCAGCAACAGCTTTTACTGGAGTTTAATGTTCATGAAAAGAGCATCTCCAGTGTCTTTATAAAGAACTACTGTGAACCTGGAAGAGCTCCAAAGCAATAACAGTGATCTTCTGAAGTCATTGTTCTAATAATGTTGCATTTGCACAGAAACCAAATGTCTGTCTTGTCTCTCACATATCAACAATCATCAGAACTGCCCAAATTGTGTTGGTTTTTTTTCTTTTGATGTGAAAACATAGAGCAGCTGCTTGTAATACACAATATTGAACTAAATTTCATCTTTAACATGATAGAACCAATGTGAGTAGCAGTACACTAAAATCAATATTTTGTCATAAATCAAAAGAAATATCAAGTTTTGATCATTGTACTTTAACTTAACATTTCAATTGTTATCTTTATTTTCTTTTGTGTCGTATGTACAGAATAATTATGTAAGTGCAAATTTTCCCTTAAATAGCTGACTTTGAAATATATGCAGATAATTAAACCTGAGAATAACCTCAAATAAATTGCAAGTCCACAAAGTTTGTACTGTCTGCTATGAGTTCAAAATGGAAAAGGAAACCTTAATATTTTTTGGCAAACATGCTCACAGACATATGATTTTCCACCACACTAAGTGTTCTTCCCATACTGTCACTTTGCTTGCATCCAAAGACCCAGCCCTCAATACAAACCACTGATGTAAAGGATAGCTCTGTTTTTAAATTCCTATTTGAAATTTGAAACGAGTGTTAAAACGGAGACCGAGGTTGCAAAAGCAATTAAATATTTTTAGACTTTTTAGAATATGGCTGCCATTTAAGACTGGCTGCAGATTGCTTTATGCACTTTTCAGTTTTCAGTTTTTGCATAAACTGCTCGTTCACAAGCAAAATCTACAACACTCAATGATGACATATTGAACAAATAAAGTTTTGGCTAAGCAATGACTTCCCATCATTGCCACGCTCCTAAAAAAATGAACACTGTACATTTTGACAGATTCTAAAGTTCATTTCTGAACACTTGGATCTGATGTTGTGGTTTCGCTTAGAGTTTCAGGCTTACAAACACACAGAGCATCTAGGCAGAACTGTAAGGTCCCTGCTTTGTAAACCATCACCTGGGCAAACACCATTTTCTATTTGGGTGATCAACATGTAAAATTCCTTACAGCAAAACTCAAATTGGATCCTGACTGGTAACATTTGGAACTTAAAGCAAAACAGTGTTTAAAAAGGGATCAATCCTGCAGACAAGAACGATCTACTACTTCTGCTCTTATGGTAATTCTGTGGTTTACTACTAGTGTCTACGGTTCAGTCAGAAACAGGGAGAAACCTTTTTAGTCAAATAATGCAACAACTCTCTTCTAGTGCTGTGAGATCTCCATTTTTGGTGTGCTATATAATAACACTGACTCCCTGCAAATAACAAACAGGTCTCTGGGAATGTGGATGTTAACAGCTTAAAGAATTCTGTATTCTTTATCACCACAGTACTGACTAATGTAGC